AGAGATGTCGTTTCCGTGCCAATGTAACCGTCACATCCTAATTACCACTACGCGAAATAACCACTCATCCCTTGTTGGGAAAGATACGCAGGACGATGTTTTGAGGTATAAAAAAAAACATAATTATATTCGGCGTCCAGGGTCATTAATTGATATTGCTTCCCTTTTAAATGAAGATTATGTCGAAACAAAGAGGTTATATCGTTTTAAACTATTAACAGAGGTCGGTTCGGTAAGCTTTCGTTGTCTAGCACACATAACACCCATGTTCAAAGTGTGAGGACGAACCAAGATTGTTGCACTTTCATTTTCTCTACATCCAGCCTAGCTCTTTCGTATCTACCGGTGTGAACCAAGGTATCAGGCTTCCGGAGGACCTCAGCTGATACTGTTATAAGGTAAAAATGCATCCCCCAAAACCTTAGAAAATTCAACCTTTAAATTGATGGTTATAGCTTTAAAAACGATGGAGACAGAAAGACGAAGTGTCGGCGCAAACAAGCAGGAAATCAATAGGGCGATGACAGTGGCAGGATATTTCGGGATAGCATCGGTGGTGTTGTCGTCAATTAATCAATAGGTATCTTTTAATCGATCAGTAGGTCCCGGTAATTTGCTGATCACGACACAAACACGAGATTACGGTATGATATTGTTGTTAACCAATTAAATAATCTATGAGGATATGTGACAAAGACAGGCCAGGCCCGAACGCTTTAAAATGATACTGTCAACATTAAGAGAGGAGAGCGGGGTTTGCAGTCGATCGAGTCGAACCTCGATCGTTCTAAGTTCAACCCCACTTTGTGACGACCCCAAAGTGAGCATAAAGCTGGTGTTGCGTTTCCTTATTTTGCGAGTATAAATGCTGATGGAGACAATTCGGAGTAAGCGTCGTTAGACCAATCAATCCTTGACTGGGCTGAGCCGATGCTGACAGGGCGAGTTGCAAAGTCATGGCTTAACTGACCATGATGACAAGGAAAGGCAATACGTTCAGGTGACTGTAGTAGGGTCCCACTTGACACCCGAAAGCAGTTACGACAATACTACAACTGCCTTTCTATGGTAACTGGGGTATCTTTGGGTGTGGACAGCGCCCGCAACTCATTCTTACACTTCACCATGAATGCGGAAGGTTGTGCTTTCCCCACTATTCGGAACATTCTGACCAGCAAAATACACCCCTATATCTACTGACCATATTCTTTACAGGGACAGTCGAGCATAACATGGCTTTCCGAGTCCACGGACAGTTATATAGTGTGTAACCCATGTCCAGGCACCTTGGTCGTCTAGGTATAACCCTACCAGCGTAGAAGGGCATGTTTACAATTCATCACAGTTGCTGTGACTGTACCGTGCTATATATATATCGCGTGAAGGAAGTACCGATTTAACACCAAAGTCCCTATCCTGTCGGGACAATACAACTGTATCGTCTTAAGTGATATATCATTGAATTAATGAAGATCTATTTGACAAGGTTTCACCAGAATGGCCTATATTCAATTTGGCTATTCATTCAATTTCTCACATGTTATCATTCACACTGGACATCGATAGCTGTCTTCGCGTATTCAATATATCTTTACAGCTTGGGTCACTTACATTTTGTAGACCTGTTCAAAACTACTCCTGCTTAAAATGCTGCTTCTTGTGATTGCAACGGTAGTTATAAAGCATTCGATTTAAATAAATATCTGTAACGCCATACGGATATTCAAGCTGCAACGTCTGCAGTGTGTAAATAACACAGTGTTGTTATACTTTGTTTTGTTTTTGTAAATCAAGAGAATTTGTACGAAGTGAGTTTATTCAGGTATATTTTGAATTCTTTCTGCAAATACGCAGCTTATCGGATGCTCTATATGTGAATTGGAGTTTACACCCAAGCTTTGTGTCCTAAATTGCACCCGCATATTTACTTGACAGTGGTTAAGGGAATTTATCACGATAGTGCCATTGAGAGCGATCATTTTGCTATTTCACCAGCTATTGTTTGTTTGGATGTTGTTTAAAGAATATTACCCCAACCTGTAAATAGGCTGCACAGTAAGAATAACAAATAGCACACATGTAATGAAGCCAGCTGTACAGTAAGGATAAGGATTATCATGAATAATAAGTTGTGACAAGCTGATTGGATACTATTACAAAATTCTATTGTTAGATTAGCTCTTCATAGGCAACTTATTAAACAAACTTCATCTGTGCATTTGAGCAGATGTTTACAAAACATGCAACATGGATTATTTTTATGTTGAAGCTTGGCCGAATAGGTATTATAATACCCCCTAAAGAGAGGACTACAGTGTTGTCAGTGTCTTGTCCAAAAGTTGACTGATAACGATGTTCCACCAAATCAAATCTTGCAAATAACATCCATCCTGGGAATAATTGTCAAATAAATCCTGATTGGCACAAACACATGTGCAATGTCATTTCTGGAAACACTCCATCCTACACAGTGATATGATTTGTTTGTTGCTGCACTCAGCAATATTAGTCATATGAATGCGGTCTGTAAATAATCAGGTCTGGACCAGACAATCCAGTGACTGATATCATGAACATCAACCTACGCAACTGAGATACGATCACATGCATCAGCCAAGTCAGCGAGACTTTATCGGCTAATGAATGTTGCCGAGAAGGGTACAAAGAATTGTTTCATTTGTTGCTCCTGGTTTAGTAACAAAATAACTGTCAATACTATACCGTAAGCTTGAAACAATTGAGGAAACGTTTTAATTGATAAATAAAATGCCCCACTCGTCATTATTTTTAATGATAATCCTCGTCTCTTTATTCGGTAACACCTCACAAAAGGCTCGAAAAAATACCGAGTGACAAAAACTTCTTCAAATATGTATTATTGTTTGTTTGTGTGTTGTTTAACTCCGCACTCAGCAATATTCCAGCTATATGATGGCGGTCTGTTAATAATTGTGTCTTGACCAGACAATCCAGTGATTGGCATCATGAGCATCGATCTACGCAATGGAGACACGATGACATTCATCAGTCGAGTCAGCGAGCCCGTTTGTCGCCTCCAACGACAAGCATTGTCATCTTTATTGATTTAACCCCCAAGCTACTTCGTCGCATCTTTATTAATAGTTATGTAAACAACAGCAAATAGTTACGTTCTAATATCTGTAGGAATTGAATATGCATTATGTCCTAAATTCAAATCCCAAGAACAAGTCGTCACGCCATTGGGCATGTTTGTTTGTTTGTTGCAATATTCCAGCCATACCTCTTGGGACTGTAACTAATCGAGTCTGACACAGACATACCAGTGGTTGACATTGCGAGCAACGTCACAAGCCATCGGAGTAGGGTGGCAGCCATCAACGAAATCATAGAACCTGACCACCCGGTCGTTTTAGTTCTCTCACCACAGGCATAGGTTATTGTGGGTCAAAATAAATGCAGGACAAAACTACAAGTTGAGTGAGTCGGGTTTAACGCCGCTTTGAACAGTATTCCAGTCATATCACGGCGTGTCAGCTTAATGTGGGAGGAAAGCCCGAAGTGATGCAGGTCTCAGACGTTTACCACTTCGGTGAAACCCAAGACAACGGGTATGGTGCTGACATAATCAGGGTGAACCGGGATTCGAACCCACAATCATAGGTTTCCGGCGTGTCCAAGGGACGCAACTCTGCACAGCGAATCGCAGCACCTTAGACGACTGGCCCACCCGTGCCCCCGAAGTAAGGTTGAATAGAGCTCTTTATAGCTGCAGACGAGTCGGCATGGTACCATAGAGTCTTAGAGCTATGTTCATTACCTATTATCGTGTGGTTCTGCCGCAGTGATTAGTCATTTGTCGGTGTGTGTTTAACTGAAGTTTGTGTGTTCTGAAATACATTACGTCACGTTTGATAAGCTGTTGTTGATATCGAACGTACTTAAATATTAATTGGTTATCGGCAGTCATTGTTATATGCATCGATGCTTTCATATGCAAGGGTTTTGCATATTTTGATTCTAAATCAACACTCACCAGTTTGTTGGAATTAATTTTACTCGCACCAGTGCAGATGTAAATAAATGGCTCGTCTGCTATCATTCATGGTGTCTTGATTTAACGCGCATCAATAACTCGTGCAGCGGAAGTGAGCCCCGATTGGATAAACTTGTAACCATGACATCACGCGACATCGCTGGCGAACACCTGCTTAAAATATCTGGGCGGTAAACTCAACTCACCCACTATGCTACATTTTCAGGTTTGGCCTAGACGTTGTAATTGCCACGTCCTAACTAGCATGCTAATTGATTTTCAGTTTGAAATAATGCAAGATATTGATCATGCGATTTCAGTTGGCAAAACAACTAGCTGTTTTTTAATTATTTTAATGAAACTTATCTGGCCAGAGCCTCGTATCACAAAATCATTAACACGTGAATGATTTGTTTTGTACTTGTAAATAATGATTTTCTATTATGGTGATAAATAAAGGTCGCCTTTTAAATATCGTGTAATTATAATACGTACAGTTTTTATGCAATAAACAACCTAAGTCTGTCTGATATTGTTCTATTGATTGTGGCATTAGACAAAGCGGAGAGAAAGCGTTGAAAACAGAATGTCATGATACCTTCTACAGCACAATCAATGTGTTTCTGGTGGACAACAATATTTCACTGAGAGAGGAGGCATTGATTAAGTTAGTCCAATTCCGAAAATCATATTGTAATTCGGTGAGCAAAACTTACACTGACTGTTACATGTAAGCTTTGGGTATTGAATGTTTTGCCATCATCCAAGAGACATAAGGGAGAGTGCGTGCGTGCGTGCGTGCGTGCGTGCGTGCGTGCGTGCGTGCAGGATATGTTGAAAAAACTTGTACCTGAATAAAAAAGGATAGACTCCCAGGTCCTCCTGGTATATCAATTGGTCCGTCCCTATGAGTTTTTTTTAAAGTAAACAAAAAGAGCAATTACAGGGAGGTTTGTGAGAGAACGTCAGTAAAGCCGGGGACAATATGGCCAGTAAAGCCGGGAATCAAATGGACAATAAAGCTGAGGATCAAATGGACAGTAAAGCTGAGGAGCTTATGGTCAGTAAAGCCGGGGACCATGTGGCCAGTAAAGGCGGGGACCATGTGGCCAGTATAGCGGACGACCATGTGGTAAGTAAAGCCGGGGACAATATGGCCAGTAAAGCCGGGGAACAAATGGACAATAAAGCTGAGGAGCTTATGGTCAGTAAAGCCGGGGACCATGTGGTAAGTAAAGCCGGGGACCATGTGGCCAGTAAAGCCGGGGACCGTGTGGCCAGTAAAGCCGGGGACCATGTGGTCAGTAAAGCCGGGGACCATGTGGCCAGTAAAGCCGGGGGCAATATGGCCAATAAAGCCGGGGATCAAATGGACAATAAAGCTGAGGAGCTTATGGCCAGTAAAGCCGGGGACCATGTGGTCAGTAAAGCCGGGGACCGTGTGGCCAGTAAAGCCGGGGACCGTGTGGCCAGTAAAGCTGGGGACCATGTGGTCAGTAAAGCCGGGGACCATGTGGCCAGTAAAGGCGGGGACCATGTGGCCAGTATAGCCGACGACCATGTGGCCAGTATAGCCGACGACCATGTGGTAAGTAAAGCCGGGGACAATATGGCCAGTAAAGCCGGGGAACAAATGGACAGTAAAGCTGAGGAGCTTATGGTCAGTAAAGCCGGGGACCATGTTGCCAGTAAAGGCGGGGACCATGTAGCCAGTATAGCCGACGACCACGTGGTAAGTAAAACCGGGGACAATATGGCCAGTAAAGCCGGGGACCATGTGGCAAGTAAAGCCGGGGACCATGTGGCCAGTCAAAGCCGGGGACCATGTGGTCAGTAAAGCCGGGGACCATGTGGTCAGTAAAGCCGGGGACCACGTGTCGAGTAAAGCAGGGGACCATGTGGCCGGTCAAAGCCGGGGACCATGTAGTCAGGAAAGCCGGGGACCATGTGGTCAGTAAAGCCGGGAACCATGTGGCCAGTAAAGCCGGGGACCATTTTGCCAGTAAAGCCGGGGACCATGTGGTCAGTAAAGCCGGGGACCATGTGGTCAGTAAAGCCGGGGACCATGTGGCCGGTCAAAGCCGGGGACCATGTGGTCAGTAAAGCCGGGGACAATGTGGCCAGTAAAGCCGGGGACCATGTGTCCAGTAAAGCCGGGGACCATGTGGTCAGTAAAACCGACGACCCTGTGGTCAGTAAAGCCGGGGACCATGTTGCCAGTCAAAGCCAGGGACCATGTGGTCAGTAAAGCCGGGGACCATGTGGCCAGTCAAAGCCGGGGACCATGTGGTCAGTCAAACCCGGCGACCATGTGGTCAGTAAAGACGGGGACCATTTGGTCAGTAAAGCCGGGGACCATGTGGCCAGTAAAGCCGGGGACCATGTGGCTAGTAAAGCCAACGACCATTCGGTCAGTAAAGCCGGGGACCATGTGGTCAGTAAAGCCGGGGACCATGTGGCTAGTAAAGCCAACGACCATGTGGTCAGTAAAGCCGGGGACAGTATGGCCCGTTAAAGCCGACGACCATGTGGCCAGTAAAGCCGGGGACCATGTGGTCAGTAAGCCGGGGACCATGTGGTCAGTAAAGCCGGGGACCATGTGGTCAGTAAAGCCGGGGACCATGTGGCCAGACAAAGCCGACGACTATGTTGCCAGTAAAGCCGACGACCATTTGGTTAGTAAAGCCGGGGACCATGTGGCCAGTAATGGGATTGGATGTCCTCCGATCTTTGTTTAAAGGTAGCGTTTGTAATGATTGTAATGAGATTGGTAGAGCTGGAGATAATAAGTGTAGTCAAACAAAACATTAAGGTTTATTTCGTTTCTTTACCGGTTTGCAATCTTTCATCTAGATCATTCAGACCCTTTAATCCTGAACTTTGGGTTTCAGCATACATTGGGATATGTCAGAGACTGTGATTGCATACCCGCATCCTCGCTACGACCAATCCTAACAAAACGAAGAAATGCACAATCAAACTCTAGACTCATAGTGACAGTCTGAAGCAGTCTATGAGTTTACCTTAGTATCTATTTGACACATCTTTACAATGATTGGCCAATTGATCAGTGACTGTTGTATGACTGTCACTGTAAACATGTGTCAAATAGATACTAAGGTAATCTTTCAACTTGTCTCTACACTGCTTGTGCACAAGCGTTTCGAGCACAATGTCCACATCGGTTACCAGTTTGTTGGCATCTACAGACAACTATGGAATACAGATGTCCATTACATATCTTACATTAAAACCCTTCACGGATATTTTTGTTTAATTACCTTTTCCAACGTCAGTTATCGAACTTTGGATCCACGTTTTGAACGAAAACCGTATACCAACATGAAAGTCCACATTGTTCTGATTGATACGCAGTTACGTTGAAGCGTCTTTGTAATCACAACTTTGGCCTCGCCTACTGATATCTTCATCTTTTAGAGAAGAAAATATTATATTTGCAAAAACTGGCCAATAGTTTCTTGTGTGTTTTTTTTCACTTTTATTTATTCCAGCAATATGTACAGAAAAAAGCATGGCATGTGAATCTATACATTGTTGACATCATGTAATATGATCAAATGATTTCCTGTCACAGCATGGTGAGGTGTTGTTTTATACCAGATATATACTCAAACTTTATAATCTGTTCCTCAGTTTTTGCCATTTGTTGTGGAATGGGAAGGTTATTATTCTTTATTACATGTATTTTTCAATCCTGAATATATCCTTCAAGGTGTTTGTAAATGGTTCCAACCATGGAACTTGTGCTTTTATAGTAGATATATAGATATATATCCTGGCCGCCCGGAGTATATGATTAACATGGTATGTTTTGATTAACTCCAATCAATATGGCAGAACAGGTGAAAAGAAACCTTTTGCTCACAGAATGTGTTCAGGTCAGTCCAGAACTTTTGTATATGTGGACAGTACATAAATAATTGCTTGACAGTTTCTTGATCTTTGTTACAGAAACTGAAGATAGCATCATCTGTAAGTTTAATCTTAAACAGTGCTGACTTTGTGCAAATAATATGGTGAATGAATCTATATTGAAAGTCTCTCAATTTTGCATCGGTCGTAGATTGCATAAAAATATTTTTCCAGGGGTGTTTACCTCAATTATATTTTCCCAACTCTTTATTGCTATTGGGGAACTTTTGGAATATATAAACTTGTTGTAAAATGCCTTAGAGTCCTTTGTAAAGCTGAGAATAGATCCAAACGTTTTATTAATACCATGGTCAAATATTCTGATATTGTGCGAGTTTGTAATCTTATGATGCCAAGATTCAGGAATATTGTGCAGAAGCTGGTTATAATCAAATATTGTTCCCTGAATATGATATCTCATTTTAAGGGAATCAAAAGGTATGAAGCTGTCTTTATTACAAATATCTTTGATTAGATGAATACCATTATAAGCCCAGTTTACGATTGTAAAGTTATGTTTATGTAAAGATTTGTAAAATAATGGTTCAACCAAAGTGGTTCTAATACTATATCTTGCCAACTGTTTTCATTTACAAGGTAAATCTTATAGTATTTATCATATAAATCCAAGACATCTTTCCAGTATGGGTTATGTATATGAACATACTAGTTACTATTTGACCCCAGGTTTAAGTGTGACGAGCAGGAGAAGCGACTTGGATTACTTTAACTGTCTTTATTCAGATATCTAGCTGTAACTGCTATTTTCATCGAATCAAGTTAAGCATTACGATCCGCCATTTTGAGACCCCAATCCTCTTAGCTTTTATTTAAGATAACTTTCTTAAGTTTGACTGGTTTATCATTCCAGATAAATCTAAAACATATCTTATTCAAGTCCTTAATAAACGCGATTCCGGGATAGAATAGGTCTTCAGCAACCCATGCTTGCCGTAAAAGGTGACTGTGCTTGTCGTAAAAGGCGACTAACGGGATCGGGTGGTCAGGCTCGCTGACTTGGTTGATGAATGTCATCGATCCAAATTGCGTGGATCGATGCTCATGATATCAATCACTGGATTGTCTGGTCAAGACTCGATTATTTATACAGACCGCCGTCATATAGCTGGAATATTGCTGAGTGCGGCGTAAAACAACAAACCAACCAACCAACCTTAATAAACGAACTTGAGGGGGAGGTTTGTTAATGTGTTCTAGTCTTTCTGGAATTGATCACCCAAAGGTCTGATATCTAAGTACTAAATGCCAATCTAAAGGGAAGGTTTTGCATTGTTTATTAGGACTACCAGTCATAGTACCGATCGAAATTGCTTTAGTCTTATCTATGTTAATATTAAATCCAGCCATTTTGTGAAAAGGATTTAAAGTAAAGTTAAAGTTTTATTTCTGTACCATCTGGGAACAACTGAGTGTCGTCCACGTATTGACCTCATTTGTGTTCAAAATGTTATGAAATATCATTTAATAAAAGTGTTGTAGATACATTAAATATTGAATACGTACTAACACGTATCGTATTGGGATACGATGGCATGCGTGAACCAAGTCAGTGACTCACCACCCGATCCCGTTAGTCGCCCCTTACGACAAGCATAGTCGCCTTTTACGACAAGCATGGGTTGCTGAAGACCAATTCTAACCTGGATCTTAATGGGTCGAGATACAAGTTTAAAGTCAGATAATATGCACATTAACACATTTAATTGGCCTAGGCATACAGCTTACAAGTTTCCACCTACTTTCATGTCACGTGACGCTGATTCATTTTAAAGATAAACAGGCAAAATTGTAATACACTACATCTGTTCTGCAATCACGAATCACGACAAGCTACTGTGAGACAGACAACCTTTTCACTGTGACATTGTTACGTCGGGTGAGTGAGTGAGCTTGATGTGGGAGAAAAGTTCGAAGTGATGCAGGTCTCCGACGTTTACCACTTTCGTGAAACCAACGAACACAGGTATGGTGCTGATAAAACTAGAAACATAATCGGAGCGAATCGGGATTCGTACCCACCATCATAGATTTCTGGACAGCAAATTGCGGCCACTCAGACGACAGGGCCACCATTGGTCCCCGATTAAGACCACGAAGACCCCCCCCCCCCCCCCCCCACACACACACACCCATCCCCGGCTGGCTACGGCACTATGAACACAATGGCTGTTATATCCCGGTGCATCAGCTTGAAGTGTCAGGTAAGCCCGAAGCGATGCAGTTTTAGCCCGCGACACTGAACGGTTCCTAACACGTTGGGTACGTAGCCCCAGAAAGTCGAGGATCATAACTCGGATCAATTTCAAGCTGAAAGCCATAATCATATACCCCCTCTCCTGTATCTTTACACTGCGCGCACCCACCCATACAATCACCCGTAATGACCAAACCGTTCGCGCTTTGTTGTAACACCACTTTGCCACCCTCGCCCATCCATTCGACGTTTGACGCCGTTCTAAAACCGGTTCCGGTTGTGTTGATCCGGAATGACCCTTTTCCAGATGTACCCTGGGATTGGGGACATTCCCGACAGTCCCCTGCATAGCCAAGCGGAGCAAGATGGCAATCAGAACGTGCAAACGTGTAGTCCCACCTGTGCGCCACGAGATCCCAGTGATTCAGTCTAATCTTCTCAAAGATGGTCGTGCCGCAGTGTTGATCTTGCCACCACGCCCCACAGTCTGCATTTGTTGTTTCGTCGGCATAGATGCTGTATGTGTTACCTACAGTTATAAATTCAGTTGGAGTCCCATCCATGCCATGGCAGTACACCTTCATGATTTTGGACGCGTCCCCCGCTTTGTGGATCAAATACTCGCCGTCATTGTAAGAGGGGTTGCATGCCTTGACGTGAGAGCACGACTCAAGCGGGAGACACTCGAA